GTGTCACTAAGTTACATTTACGGTGAACCTTTACGGGATTCTCATCTCTCGGCAGGGTGTGAACTCCCTCCCCCTAGCGTCAGAAACTACGGTGCTGTCCGATATGAAAAGCCCTATTTAGAATTCATTCCGCTTAGAAGTGAAGCGAGTTGGCATCATCACGCCGAGCCGATAAACCATGAAGCCACCCACTTAACAGCGGCCGTCGTCGAGATTCGTACCCGGGCTTACCACGTGAGAGACCAGCACTCCAACCATCCATCCAGTGGAGATGCGGGCCCGGGGGCGAAAACTCGTGATGAGAATAGAAATGGTTCAGAGTGAGCTGATGGATTTCGCGATTGTTGCATACACGCTCAGTGCAGAACGATGGGAGTTTATTAGCCGGGCAGGCCTTCAGGCACAATGCGATACACGTGGCTTGGCGCGTTGCAATCCACTCGTGAGTTGGTTATATTTCCAAACGGCGCAGCGGAACATGTTGAAACACTGCCGGAATTCGCTGCGCTACAGTACCAGAACTCCTCTCTTCTTGGCAAAAACTAGCTTAATGATACATACTATAAGTCCAGGCGCTCTGGCGTGCTCTGGTTGCGCACCGGACAAGCAGGCGGCGGAACGTAATCGGTTGTTTCCGTCGTTCGCGCGCCACTGGGCTGCACGAGGCTGGTTTCAGCTTCCGCGGATAAAGCGGACGTCGCTGGCTGGTTGACAGCTTCCGCAGACGGAACGAACGTGCTTGTGGAACGGAAAGGAACGAACCATGTGCGAAGTGCTTCTCTGTTTCAAGCAGTCCATCCTCTCCAGATGTACGACGGGGACGGATGCGATCGAAGTGACGACGGAACTGACGGCCATCTTGCAACAGAACCTGGCAAGACGGTCCGCAGACATCCAGCACGGTTCCTGGGAGCCACTTATAGGCCGAACCAATCACTTCTGTGATGAAGACCGGGTCTCCCGTACGGAACGATCTATTGACAGAACCACTCGCCGTGCTGCTGCGGTACTGCCTTTGCTCCGACGGGTGGAGCTGCGTCAGGCGCGTTCTTGGAGCGCGTTTGAACAGCATCTCTGCTCGGGCTTTCCCTGTTGCTGTATGTGGCGTATTCCTGTATTGGAACAACCACCTCTGGAGCTTCGTGAGCAGAGGAGAGGGGCGTTGCTTCCTGATTCCAGTTTTCACGAGCTTCACCATGTTTTCCGCTTGACCATTAGATGCAGAGTGAAGCAGAGGGGTGAAGACATGGCGGATGCCGTTGGCGCTTGTGAGGTCGCTAAACTCTTTACTGGTGAAGCAGCCACCAATGTCGCTCACGATCATTGCGGGGATCCCATTTGTGGCGGTGATCCGTAGGTGGTCTACGGTTGTTCTTGTGCTGACGTCGTTGGTTATTCAGACGTCTGGCCATTTGTTATACGCATCCACCACGATCAGGAGCATCTTGCCTTCTACAGGGCCAGCGTAGTCAACATGTACTCTGTCCCACGGAGCGTCTGGGTACCTCCATGGTTGAGAGCCACTTAAGGCGCTGCTTTCTGGTGTAGCTGGCATGCATCACAGACTTTGGTGAGCTCGGCCATGTCTGAGTCCATCCCAGGCCACCAGACCTGACTGGGGGCACGACATTTCATAGAACAAATGCCGGGATGCCCTTCATGAAGGAGCTTGAGTGCCTTTTGGCGCACCGTGGTGGCATCACCACTAGGCATCCCCAGAGCTAGCAATCGCCCTGGATACTCAGTTCGGCATTTCGCCACTGGTACGGCAGGAATGCTGGCGACACCTCTGACGATTTGGGCCATCCGTACCGGGTGAAGTGCAGAACTTCAAAGAGAACGACATCTCTTCTGGTCCATTCTCGAACAGCGTCCACAGTTACCAGTCCATCAACAGCTTCAAGCATCTGGATGACTTCCATGAGCGGAGCTACTGCAGCCTCTGCCATCGTTTCAGAGGTTGGCAGGCGGCTGAGAGCGTCTGGTGGTGGATGCTGTTCTGGACTACCGGGGACGTGTACCGGCTGGTACTGGTAGGCGTCCAGCGTGACGTTCCATCTCACCATGCGTGGTGGGACGGCTTCTGGCAGGTTCTTGGTTCTCCCGAGGAGCCCCAGGAGCGGCTGGTCGGTTCTGAGCGTGAAGGGTCTTCCATACACGAAGCTTTGGAACCGCTTGACGGCGAAGACCAGAACCAGACATTCACGGTCGATATGACTGTAGTTCTTTTGAGCTTGGTTTGGAGTGCGGGAGGCAAAGGCGATTGGGCGTTCTTCCTCTGGTGCCATCTGAGACAACACAGCTCCTAGGCCATAGGAGCTGGCATCTGCTGACACGATGGCTGGTGCATTACTGTCGAGGTGTGCGAGACAGTGAGCCTCTGAGAGAAGAACCTTCGTTGCCCTGAAGTCGTCCCGCTGCTCTGCGCCCCATCGCCACTCCACGTCCTTCCCCAGGAGTGCATAAAACGGTGCAGCAACCGCACTCAGCTTCGGGCAGAAGCGGCTGTAGTGGTTCAGCATGCTGAGATACGTCCTAAGTTGTCCAACGTTTTCAGGATCTGGGGCGTCTCGCACGGCTGCTACCTTCTGTTTTGTTGGGTGCAGACCTTCCTTGTCAATCCGCACCCCGAGGTAGGAGACCCCTGGCAGGAGCCACTGGCACTTTTTTGGGTTGATTCTTAGGTTCTCCTGATCCAGTCATCTCAGTACTTCCTCCAGATTAGCAAGATGTGCGGTGTTGTTCGGACCTGTGACACAAATGTCATCAAGAAACACCATGGCGTTTGGGATGTCAGCTAGCAGGGTTTCGATGTGGCGCTGGAAGACAGCAGGATCATTGCTAACTCCATATACCAGCCTGGTCGCTTAAAAAATGTGTGTGTGTGCGTGTGTGTGTGTGTGTTAACCACTGTGTAGTCTTGGCTTGCCTCTGACAACGGAATCTGCAAGTACGCCTGTTCCAGGTCGATTATTGTTATTGTTGATTATTCCTCCAGTGAGGCCTTCACCTGGAAGATTGCATGCCAGTTAATTTTTACCTTGGAGAGCCAATTTATACCCAGTAGGGGCTTGCTGGATCCATGCACCATGACCATGGGTACCTGGACTCCTGTGTCACTTTCTCGCACAATCACCTTGACTTCCCCAACCACAGAGATGGGCTCACCTGTGTAGGTTTTCAGTCCCTGTCTGGATTCCTCCAATGTCCTGTTTGGCCACAGCTTGCAGAAGAGCTGTTCGGATATCACTGACACTGCTGCGCCAGTATCAACTTCCCACTGCACTGGCTTTCCATCCACTTGCACTGTTATCTTAATTGGATGGTTCTCATTTGCTGTTGTCTCCTGTATAGGCTTGTTAATCCCCAGGAGTGCTCCTCAGGTGGGCTTTCATGCTGAGGTTGCAGATAATGTTCTTGGTCCATCTGTTTTACTATGGTAAAACCGTGCTGACCTTTGTTGCGGCATGCTGTTTGAGTGTGATCCCGTTTTCCACAGTGAAAGCGGTCCTGCTTTTTAAAGGAACACTCCCACTGGCCATGTCTTGAGCATCTTTCTGTGTTCAAAACACTGTGACTGGGCCGATCGCTTTGGTGCATATTCTTTTACACCACGTTTGAGGTGGGCTTTTATTTTTGCACTATGTTTTGTGCCTGGACATTTGCCTGTAGCGCAGCAAATCTGTTTGAATGGCATGCTTCAATGGCACAAGCTTGGGCTCATGCTTACTCCAAGCCTCTAGCAAATGGGTGCAATTCCTTGAGTGTCATTTTCTGTTGCAGGGCCTTTTCCCTCACCCTGGGATCTCTGACTCCCATGATCATCTGCTGTCAGATTTCCCAGGTGGAATTGGTGAAATCACAAGCACTGGCGGGGTGCTTGGGGCGAACCACAATTGCGTCAATGAACTCACCTTCCATTTGCATCGTTTGGCCAAACACATCACACTCGTCTATATTTTTCTGCGGAACAAAATATGACCCACGCTGCCTGCGCACCTTTTGGTGGACATCATCTGCGGCCTCTCCCGCGACAGGCGGGGGCTGTGGCAGCGTTTCTTGCTGATCAAACACTGCAGGACCAGCAAAATGGAGCAAATGGCCTTTTTCCGGGCAAGATCTTTTACTCCCATCGCCAGACACGTTTCCAGTCGACGGAGCCATTTAGGCCACTGATCGGGCTGCGTCCAACGCCATCCCTTTTCAGGCGGGATTTAGAACTTATGGCGGGCAATTGAGCGTGAAAATAACACATCAAAATGAATATCCTCGTCACCAACACTGTTCCATACACGCTCAGTGCAGAGCAATGGGAGTTCATTGGCTGGGCAGGCTTTCAGGCACGATCCCACACATATTGCCTGGCGCGTCGCAATCAACTTGTGAGTTGGCTATACTTCCAAACCGGGCAGGGGCACATGTTGAAACACTGCCGTAATTCGTTACGCTACAGTACCACAATGATCGTTTGATGTCTATCACGTATAGAACCAACTTTTCGCACGAAATTCTGCATTTTTGCACTTTCTTGCCTCCAACGCTGCCAATACGCGTACGCTTGACACGTACAACCATCTGAGAGATTTTTGGAGGGTGTATAAGCCCGGTGCGTAACCGCCCTCCGTTTTGGAGGGTGTATGAGCCCGGTGCGTAACCGCCCTACGTTTTGGAGGGTGTATACGCACTGCCTTAATTTTATCATCGAAAATTTGGTACAGCTGTAGGCAAATAGTGGATCGTTTGGTGAAAAAATTTGAAGGTACCCTGTAAGGTCACTGACCTATGGCAGGTCAAAGTCAGGCCATGGTTTTAGCGAAGTCAATTTCTAGGGAATCGTTTAATCTGGTGCACCAAAGGACTGTTAGACGAAGCCATATGTTTCTGCAATGCCTTCTTAGACAATGCAGCAATTGAACGAGTAAATTGCATTGACCTAAGGTCAGATATGGAGGTCAGACCAAGGTCAATGCCAACCTGTTTTATTGCTCTAGGGCTTGCTGAGTAGGATAGTTTATGGTGCTCATTTCGGATTTATTGATAGCACGAGCAGCATTCTACATCTTCCATGGATTTCTTAAAGATCAGCAAAAGTCATTAGCCTAAAGTGACCCAGGTCAACATTTGGTCTTTAGGAGCATACTGTCTAGCCTTGAACTTTGTCGCTTATTCAAATGCAATACTCAGACCAGGGTTGTATGAAGTTGGTCACCAAGAGGTTGACAAGGTCAAACAGGACTTTCTACGTTGCCCTTGTGGTCTATATATATATATATATGGGTACATATCACACATTATGCCCCCTGTGCCACATGGTACGTTATAGGCCAGACGCTGCCGCGAGATCGATTCTGATTCTGTCGTCGGTGTACTGAATTGTCTCCATGTCACCACATCAAAGGGCAGTTGAACGTTGCTATTATGCACTGCTCAGATTTTTGGCATGGTATTCAAGCGCTGCCTGCATAGGTCACACTTTTAAGGATATCAACGTTTCGAAAAAGGCCAAAGTATTTTACCTGTTCAGCATGCTAATGCTCAGAAAATTGTGTTATCGTCTGGTGTTCAAATGCATTATTGCCAACTACAAAAGCGGTTCTATGAACAGCCCATATTGGTGTAAAGCTTCGAAACTAAGAAAATTTATAGGTCAAATGGGCTGTACTGTCGCACAGGGTTTCCGTGGTTCGCTTGGATTATTGACCGCCGCATGCAAAGGGTCGTCCATGAATTACGACGCACATGGAGAGGAAGATGTGTCTTGATGCATCGTGATCTAAACGCACCGGGGGAAAGAGGAGTTTGGATAACGTTACGTTACTCTCAAATGTCGTCGCAAATCAAGCTATTTTGTGTAGTTCCGACTTCCTCTTTTATGTCCTCAGCTATTAAACTCTGCGCGCTGTAGAAAAATGCGTCGCCGTTGATTATCGTGTACCACACAAACATTTCAAAGCTAAAGCAAGCTTGATATCAGCCAGGTTTAAGTCATTTCGAATTCTACGCAACCATCACCAGCATGTTATTCACACCATTAAGTAGATCCTGAGCGTACGGTTCTGCACATTGGTGCACCAAAAAGAAATAGCCTTAGCACAGGCAATGACAAAGACAGTGACAAACTACTCAATAAGATTGCTGAGGATCCAGTCAATATAGAGACTTTGGTGTAGATGCCGGGAAAATCGGGGTTGCCACAGCCGACGCCGGTGGAGACGATGCCAATGAGCTGGTAGGAGCCGTCGGGCAGCTCGACCATCAGCGGACCCCCGAGTCTCCCCGGCACGCGTCGTGTGGCTTGTCGTCGCGGCTGCTCGCACAGATCTTGGTGCCCTGAAAGCCTCCGGGAAATGCGGTGTTGAACGCGGGCGCCTGGCGGTAGGCGTCCTCACAGGCGCCCTCGTCGAACACACGCAACGGCACCTCCTGCAGCACGTCGGCCGTCTCGCCGCCGAACTCGACCAAGCCCCAGCCGGCCATCTCGACATCCTGGCCGTGGTGCTGGGAGCCGGCCGGCGGCAGGCAGATGGGCCGCACGGCTTTCGTCAGCTGCACCGGCGACTGCAGCCGCACCACGGCCAGGTCGTTCTGCGAGGCGTGGTACTGCGGGTGCCGCACGATGCTGGTGATGTTGCGCTCCTGGTGGTCGACGTCCTCGAAGGTGGTGAGGTCATGATCGCCGATGCGGGCCAGCACGGTGGCGGCCTGCTCTGGCCGTAGGCAGTGGGCGGCTGTGAGCACGTGTCGGTCGGTGATGAGGACGCCGCCGCAGAACCACTTCTGCCCGCCGGTGTCCGTCCGCTGGCCGAACAGCACCATCCACGGCCACTTGCCGAGTATAGCGTTAAAACCGCCGACAGCTTGTGCGACGAACACAGGGCCTGTGAAATCCGTGTCTTTCAGAAGTGGGTTATGTTTTTCAATGGTCGTTGTGTCACGGCGGAAACGGAAGACGGTAATTGTTCTGTTAGGGTTGCCGCATTCCTCCGGCAGCAGCTGTGTGAGGCTTACAGGCTTCGGTGAGGTGGCTTCAGTAGACTCGCAACAGATGAGCGGTGTCCGGCCCGAAAAGCCACAGGGCGTCGGTGGCTTGTTCAGGATGTCCGCTCTGGTCTTGTAGGCGGGGCAGTCGAGGATTGGTGTGCACTGTTGGTTCTCACCAGTGCAGCGTCCAGTCCGGTCCAAAAACTTGATTGGCGCTACGGCACTGAGCAGCGCAAACACCAAGGTGACGTAACACGACCAGCGCTCCATGTTAGCGCGAGTTGCGGCGCCACCTCTCGCACGACCGCTGCCACATCCTCTCGCCGTCGCCTGGCCCGGCGCAGTGGGGCCGTCTGAGTGGCTTCGGCGCCTGCGTGCTGCGCCGCTCGGTTTGGCGCGGCGCCAGCGGGCGCCGCCAGCGCTATGCGCTCGCCCTTTGTATGTTTATAGTGTGCTGGTTTGCTTGGGTCTGCGCCGCTGGTGTGCTTGTTTTTTATGCAGGGCGCGATCATTTGCTGATATGCCACGTGCAGGGCTGGATCATTACCATTCATCCGTCGACTCGCAATCGTCGCAGTCGGGTTTTCCCCGCCTGTCACCCTGGCGGACATCGACTTCCAGGAAATGCACGGCCCCGGGTAATTGCGCTGTGTGGCTGCTGACGTCATTTCCGACCGGTAGGCCCGTTCGTTTAATGCCGCGCAAGATCGGTCGCTGATATGCCGCGTGAATAATGGCTGGATAATTACCGCTCCGTCTCGGCCGTCAACCATTTCAGCCGGGATTTACCGCCTGGCGCTGCGGGCGGGTGCTTCGTCCAGCAAATGTGCGGCCTAGCTGATTGAGCTGTGTGGAGGTTGATGTCTATCGAAACCATGACAATAATGCATGCATGCACGAGAGCGTGACGTTTGCAAGTCATATGGTTGGAACTCATGCCGTTGTTTACAGATGCGTCATTTTCCAAACTGCTTTTCTGTCTTTCTCTTTCTTTCACCCTTTTGTACTTGTAGTTGTCCATTGCACTGCATCACACTGGCATTTCCATGCCAATTACACGGTGATGCGCAGGTGCAACTATGTGAGAAGCATAGAATATACTGCAATCCAATACAATTTTTTAATTAAAGACGCCTGATTGATCAATGATGGTCCGAGACCAAAACTGCCGCACACACACACACACACACGCACACACACACACACACACACACACACACACACACACACACACACACACACACACGCACACACACACACACACACACACACACACACACACACACACACACACACACACACACACACACACACACACACACACACACCACACACGCACACGCACACACTCACACGCGCACACACACGCGCACACACACACACACACACACAATGATAATGATAATTTTTTTGTTTGGTACCTGTGGCCGACAGTCTATCGACAATGTGTTGTGTAGATTGATTGGAGGTTCCTGCATCTAAGAGTACAACAGATCTGGATCAAGCTCCTACGCATGCATGCTGATAACTGGAAGGAGCTTTAAGGCAAAGGCCTGTGAACGGTGTGGCCCACTTAAAAGAGCGCGACCAGCGCTTTGTCAAGAGTTGGAAATGTCCTTTCGGGAAAAACAGCTTCTTGGTTATGCAACAAAATTCTCTCTGAATACAGTGCACAGCAAGCTTCAGCACGTTTGCTCTCAAACCCCCAGCGTTATGGGCTGCAGCATATTCTGCGCTGCACCTATGGTCAGTAGCCCAAATCTGGCATGAAATCAGGACGGGCACTTCTCACTCTTTCTTGAATGAAGTGGTCCGCTTGCTTGTAGGTGGAGCCGGCCGCAATATTGGTAGACAAGGAACATAGACTCACTCTGACCAGGCCATCGCAGCGCACGGCGCGAGGAGAGCGCTGTGTACGATCGCGGAACCAAAAACTAAAGCTAGAACTGGTTTGAAAGGGCTTAACGAGATCAGGCCATATGCCAACGATCCTGAACCATCTATGTCTCGTACTTCGTTTATCAATGAGTTATCCGTATGGAGAAATTCCCGCCGCCGACCTCCACAACCGCTGCCTGCAGGGAAGGTCCGCTGTGCTCACACTGAGCGCTAGTGAGACCGCTATCTTCCCGTCTACCTGTCTCTTCTAGAGTTCCGCGGGATGATTCGGCTGCAGTTGCATACGATGTGTGCGGGCGACATCCGTTCGGAAAGTCTGTCGAGCGAGGGCCCACCCCTGATGACAACCGCCTCGGCGCTGCCGCTGCCCTGGATGGTTCCGCCAAGCATCGGCGGTACTACCGTTCTATCTGGCGCTCGAGGGACAGGTGCTGTAGGGTTCACCCGCCGTTGTGCGGATTCCGTGGTGGGCGTCGACGGGTGCAATATTCGATACTGCCGTGGTTGGACGTCGGCACATCTGTTGTCGCGGTGATGCTACCGGTGTCCACAGGTCGGCAGCCGCGAGTGTGGCGCCGACGTACGAGTCGTTGCCGAATGTGCATCGAGCGGGGCTTAGTATTGCCTACCGCTGCCTTCGCCATTTCCACGGTCTTAACAGACAGATGAAGAGCACAAGTATCTGCCACGCTCAGATATATTGAGCGCCCGAGTAGGCACCCGGCCAGGTGGGGGACTTGTTAACCAGTTTCTAATCATCGTTATGAGCACTCAAGACCAGTTAGCTACTTACACACCAATAATTATTGGAGAAATAACAGGAAAGATATCCAACAAACCGGACCGCGACGAGGCGCAGCAATCATCCTCTCAGAACAATGTTTGACATTCACGCACACTTTCCTGGGAACTGACAGTAAAGCTGTATTAAGCTACTTACAATTATATGGCATCGCACACAAGTTCACATATATTAACGTTGTACATCAAAACAGCCATTTCTTCCTACGAATGCCCAGCTCACGTATAACAGAAGCCTAAGCAGATAGCAGGGAATAGGATGGACGAACCCGACGATCGGAGATGTGTGAGATTATGGCAGGAAGGGGTATCTGCTTGTTATGTCACCCGACAAGGGAAGACAGGATATCAGAGCTTACAGGTTGCCTAAGGTACCCTTAACAGCACTGATTTAATCATTTTTGCGGATCCTTTCCATTGCAGGCGTACATTAAGCAGCTTCGCCCGGTGATGAAGACAGTCGTCGGTAGGTGATCACCAGCATCCTGATCAGCTCGTTGCGGTGGTTTCCCAAACTGCACTAAGTTTCCAGGGGGTGGTGCCCGCGATCTCACACGTCATCGGTACCGATGCGGCACACCACCGCGCTCCTCAGCATCCGCTAAGGCACTGCATGGTAGACCGCGTCCAGCTGCACAATGTGGCGGCGGAGCTCCCCCTTAGCACTGAGGACCACCTCTTGACTGCCCCCGTAGAGAGATCCATCAGCCCACTGCGATTTTTCAGTCACAGACGGTGACATAAGGCTGTGGGGCCGTCGGGCTCCAGGCGACTTACCAGTGTTTTTGGCAGGGGCCGCAGCATTCTCTGTCCAGTGCCCTTTGGACGACGAACACGGTGGCATAGCAAACTACATTGACGGCCATGAAGAACAGCCCCAGCCGGTAGTCATGGTCGTCCAGGATATCGAGCACCTCGGTGCTGCCGGTGTTACACGTGCCATCGGTACCAAGCTGACCGCGACTGTGACCCACAGCCAGGCTCGATTGGGACCCAGCCTTGCGATGCTCCTGCTGCGTTCCGTGCAAATGCCGGAATGTAGCGACGAACGGGCTGGCGCTCGGGTTGTCGTTTCATCCACCTGAGAAAACTGAGTGAACGGTAACGAACCCAGAAAAACCGTCGAACTCGATGTCAGATTTTGGAGTTAATTCATTGGCATTAAGACACCGGGCGTTTGCTCTCAAAGGTCAGTGTAGACGTTCTCAAACAGATAAAAACAGCCTGCGAAACAAGGAGCACAACGTTATTTCACTCCAGCCGATGGTCTTGTAGTGGGTAGCTTATCAAGATCACGGGCTGGTATTGAACAGTTTGGAACAATGGAACTCGTTTACTTCAAGCGTACATTGAGTGGACATGGATCATTGTCGTAAGTGATTATTCACCGGCAAGCCAAATCAATGTTTTTGCCTCTTTTTACACAGTTTGTCACTATTGTAATTCATCATCATCGCATCAATGCTGGTGACTGAAAGCAGGGCAAATACTACAGGGAACACGATAAGAGCGGTTTTACTGGAGGAGACTAATTAAAAGTTCATCATGTTATGTGCATGATATACGGAGAGGTAATTTACTTTATGGTTTGCCGAATCATATCTTGGGTGATTGGGAGATGGAGCCAGGACTGATAAAACCATGTTAAAACTATCAACCAAGAAAACATTGAAGCATAAGGGTAGCTTTATTTGCACCATAAAAACCCTTCATTTACCACGCGCTCGGCTGGGAGGTCAAATTGACCCCGCGAAGATTTTCCAAAAAGTTTCCGAAACGCCGTGGCGTAGCTGCTCCAAATTTTTGCAAAGCCGTAGACAATTAGATAGCGGATCGTTTGATGAAAAATTGAATATACCTTGTGAGGCTGCTAACCTATGGCAGGTAAAAATCAGGCCATGGTTTCAGTGAAGCCAATGTCCAGGGAATCGTTTAATCTGGTGCAACAAAGGACTGTTAGTCGAAGCCACGCATCTCTGCAATGCTTTCTTAGACAACACAATAATTGAACGAGAAAATTGCATTGACCTAAGGTCAGGTATGAAGGTCAGACCAAGGTCAATACCAACCTGTTTCATTACTCTAGGGCTTGCTGTATGGGAGAGTTTCTGGTGCTCATTTCGGATTTATTGATATCGCGAACCGCACTCTACATCTTCCATGGACTTTTTAGGCGTCAGAATACGTTATTGACCTCAAGTGAACCAGGTCAACAATTGGTTTTTAGGAGCATACTGCCTAGCGTTAACTTTGTCGCTTATTCAAATGCAAAACTCAGACCAGTTTTGTATGGCTTTTGTCACCATGATCTTCAAAAGGTCAGTGTCACTTACCTTCAATGAGTATATTACATGTTGCTTAGAAACAGTTATTTAGGTTCTGGGGGCACTTAAGCGACTAACCTGAAATCTGACCTTGTTTGACCTTCTTTGACCCGAAGTCATGACCTAGGAACCTCAAACTTGACCTAAGTGAGTTCACGCACGGATCAAGATTCCCTGTGAATTTGGTGTCTCTAGTTCTCATAGTTCTCGAGATCTCAGGAGCGGGGTTTCAAATTGCCCCCCCCCCCCCCCCCCCCTGAGCTAAGGGCATCCTGCCGGCCACCCGGGCGTGTGTTAGACTAT